GGGAGGCAGACTCCGCCGGACCCACGTCCAGCCCCGTGGGAGGCAGACTCCGCCGGACCCACGTCCAGCCCCGTGGGAGGCAGACTCCGCCGGACTGATGAGGTCCGGTGCGGGGCAGGGCTGTGAGCCTCCTGTCAGCTTACCTCCCCCCAACCCCCACCATGTTGGCAAGCTTCTGGGCTCACTGTCCATCCCTCCAACCAGCCTGACCCCAATACCTGTCATGACCCCAGCATCCGGCCAGGACCCAGAGAGTGCCCAGCGGCTGATGCCAATGCTGGTCCCTTTGTCCTTTTGTCCCTTTGTCCCACGAGAACAAAGGGCTATGTCCCCTGCCCCTACTGGACCCACTCACCCAGGCTGCTGCCGTCTGCAGCTCTCCGCCGGGGGTTGCTGGGGTAGGAGGAGTAGTACTGGGTACTCCCTTTTACGCCTGAGGGGGACAGTGGCCCCGGGCTGCTGAGGGCCAACTCACTCGGCAGGAAGCCAGCCTGGGGGTGGGGGACAGATCACTGTGAAGGACAGACCTCAGGGAGCCCCCAAGTCAATGCCAGCAAAACTAAACCAGAGGCAGAACAACCCACAGATACCAAAGGCCCAGCTCCCACCACAGCGGCCTGTGACCTCGGCCGGACCTTTGCTGCCTGCTCTCAGCTGACACAGTCCAACAGCCACCCTCCTGACTGAAGGAGCCGCGGGATGCAAGGCGACCCATGACTCACGAAGAGATAAGACTAAGAAAACCTGACCACCGCCCCGCAGGTTTAGAGCAGCCAGCGGACTGAGTCGGCGGGGTGGGCCGTTCTGCACTGGGGCTTCACTTGGTCTTGGCTAGCTCGGATGAGGCTCTCCCATGGCACTGGCTCCTGCCATGGGCTCTGGCTTTGCGGCCCTGGGCATGGAGGAACATGACGCAGCCAGCCCCTGCTCTTGACCCCGTCGTGGCTGTGACACGCACGGGAGACCTGGGAGACTGAGTCTGAGGCCCACTCTGCTGAGCTCTGCAGCTCACACGCACTGCCTCCCAACACCCAGCCTCCCTGGGTGTTAAAGGGGCACACTGGCCATTCACATGGCTGAGCGGGGTGGGCATCAGGACCAACAGGGACAACGGAGTTATGGCATCCAGATGGCCCCTAACAGCTACCGGAGTTTTTGCTCTGGCCTAGGTCCAGGGGACACAGGGAGGGACAAGCCTGCACCCTGATTTGAACCTCGTTGGGAGGAACAGGAATAAAACCCTCATGTGTGTGGTACCCCAGGGTGATCAAGCCATGAACCCATGGTGGGGACCACTGGGGCTGATGGCCATGGCCTCCACTGGCCTTGCAGAAGAGAGGAGAGTTTGTCCTGGGCTGGGGCCTCCCTGAGCAGATACAGGGTGGAGGCGCCACCTAGGCTGGGGCTCACCTGGGAAGGGCCTTAGGGCTGCCTCAGTCTCCCTGTCTGCAACTTTGAGCCCCTCCAGCTGCACCCAGCTCTAGCCTCCCTTCTGCACACTGGTCCTGCCACCAGCCTGGCCTGGCCCAGAGCCCTGTTCTATTTGCGCCACTGCCAGAGAGTGAACAGCACCTGGCCTGGCCACAGAGGCTTCCGCTGATCAGGAGGAAAAAAGTAGTAAGAGACAAAGTGGGGCGCCCTCGCCCACAGCAGCTCCAACGGGCGATCTGGGCAAGCGGCTACCACGGGCTCCTACGTGGGTGATGAGTGTTGCCCAGCCCTGCCCACCTTGCGGCCCCGGGCTCTTCGCAGACAGCTGGGTGCTGAGCCTGGGAGCCCAACGGGGTCTGCGTGCCCAGCCCCAGCCCCATCCCATGGACACGGCCCTCACCTGACTTAAGCCACCAACGCCGGCATCTCTCCCGAAGGTGGCATACGCAGCCCGCTCACTGACTTTGCCTGGAGGGACGATAGACGGTTGCTGAGAGCCGGCCCCGTGAGATAACGAGTTCAAGGGGTCGGTGGGTCAACCCAGCACCTGGCGGGGGCTGCGTACAGCCTGCGCACGGGAACTGTGTCGGGTGGACGAAGGACAGCCGGGCATTGGGTGGCACTCCCGCCTTTGGCAGGCTGGCCTCCCTGTCCTCCTGGAGGCAGGAACGGGGTGGGGACAAGCAGGGGTCCCTGAAACACGCACGTGGCCAACAAACCCGAGTGAACCAATGTCCTGCCCACCAGGCCCCCGACACCCCACCCCACCCCCCACAGTGCAATACCCGCAAGCCCAGCCAGGCCACAGCCCTGCTCTGGTTGTGCCTGGGCCTGGACCAGCCTGGGCTCGCATGAGGTACTGTTCCCCGGGGACAGGCCTAGGGTCTCTGGCTGGAAAGCCCATGAGGAGCCTGGGCTCCCATACACACCATCTGCCTGGCTTAGTCCCCAGGGTTCCATCAGCACAGACTCCAGCCCCCGTCCAATGAGGACAGCTAGCTTTTCAGCCAGAGAGGGAGCCACGAAGGAGCAGGCATGGTTCATACTACATGGTGGGAAGGGGTCTCTACAAGTCAGGGGATAAGGCCTGGGGCTATGGAAGGACACATGCCTGTGTGGAGGCCTGCTGCTTCACGACACCTGGATCAAGCCTCACCTGCAGCACGCACTTTTGGTTACTTAGTACCTTTTTGGCTTAAGGCAAGATCTTGACTAAGTACAGACCATCAGCAGCCTTGCTGCACCAGGTCCTGCATTAGCCAACTAATCTGAATTATTCTCAAACCTGGAAAAACTCTGCCCATTTCTTTGTAACAGAAGTCCATCTAGACTTCCAGAACCTTGCTGTGGGTAGGCTTGATGCTGCCCTCTCTGAGCTCCTTGGCTGTAGGATGCTGGGCCCAGTGATTAGGCTGGGTGGCCGTGGGAACCGCCCTGTCAGCCCTGCCCACCCTCAGCTGTGCTGGGCCAGCTGGCAGCAGGAAGAGACTGGGAGGAAGGAAGAGCAGGGGGGAAGCTGGTATGCCAGCAGGTGTGGCCCTCAGGAAACTGCTGCGGGCACGCAGTGGGCACTCAGGTACTGCCCCATGTGCAATCCCCTCATGCAGGCCGTGAGCACTTCCTGAGCTCTTACTGCGCACTGTGACCTCAGTGCAGTCGAAACCAGGGGCTGCTCCTTTGGGGTCTGGGCTAAAGCTGGGGCTCTGCAAACTCTCTGGGTCTCAGTTCCCCTTAAGTCAGTAGCTCTGAGGCTCCCACGATTCTTACCCCAAGCCAAGTCCTCAACTCAGCAGCATGTTTACTCCCTGTGAAAGGCAGTCCAACTTTGTCTAAGCAGCCTGTCGCGGTCATGAACAGCCATAAAAACCTTGACAATTAACTGGCCCACCACCCGGGCCTTGGGGGCCTCTCAGGAGCAGAGGGACAGAATCCCAATCCCATTATGCACTCAGCTGCTCTCTGAAAGATCGGGGCTCACATTTACCCGAGGGACCGTGGAAGGAAGGCCTGGTGACCTGCTCCCTAACAAGCAGCCACTGAAACCTCAGGGCGCTCCACCCGGACGCCCACGAGGTGACTGGGAGCTGGGTGGACCCCGGGACAACCAGCTTTACTGGTATTTTGGAGCTGAGGCTCTACGGGAACTGGGAACCGACCCCCAGCAGCCAGAGCCCCACCATCCCCAAAAGTTTCAGCTCAACCTTTCACCCCGAAGCCTCCCAAGCCCCCAGGAGCTGGGGCTCCCAGCAACCACATAAGAAGGAGGGGCTGAGGCTGGGGCTGAGCCTGGTTAAGGTCATCCACTGGGGGATGGAACATGATGGTCCCAGAGGTCGGAGCCCTGGAGCTGCAGGCTAAGTCATGTCCCTCAAAGATCTGCTCAAATCTTGACCCTAGAACCCATGACTGAAACCATGTTCAGAGCTGGGATCTGTACAGAATGACTAGTTAAGCTGAGGTCACACTGGAATGGTATGACCCCTGGTTTGGAGCTGGGTCTGTGTAGACTGAAAAGCTGAGGTCACACTGGAATGGTGTGACCTGATTTGGAGCCCAGGTCTGTGTAGACTGATTGCTGAAATGAAGTCATGCTGGAATGGGGGGTCACTGGGCACAATGACAGGGGTCCCTGGCTGTGTCGACCTGCACTCGCTCTGAGGAAGGCAGACAGCATCACTGCCACACACTATGGGTGGATGCTGTAGACATGCCAGGCAGCCAGGCCCACCAAGCAGGCCGAGGCCCCTGCATATGGGGAGAAGGGGGCGGGGATTGTCCCTGGCCAGACACTCACCCCCGAGGCTGGGTCCCAGGAATGTGGATGAAGTGAGGCTGCTGTGAGACTCGCTGAAGTGGGTGCCTTCGCCATAGGTCTATGGAGAGATGAGGTTCAGGTGGGGCTGGGGACGGGGGCCCACTCCCATGTCGCCTCTGGGGTGAGGTTCAGGGAGGCAGGCAGGTCGGAGTCAAGACTCAAACCCACGTTACTGAGCCTAAAGCCCCTAGCGAGTAGGCTGGGGTCTGCCTTTCCCTCTGAGCCTGTTTCCTCACTCAGCACATAGCCCACCCCGGGAAGGGAAGCCCACATCCCAGACCTCACAGGGGCCCCTCACCCTGCTGGGGTCAAAGGAGGAACTGTTCTGGTCGCCGGCACCCCAGGAGCCTGAGCTGGGTCGTTCCTCAAGACCTGTGGGGAGGGGAGAGGAAAGAGAGCCAGGGTCAGCCAAGTCTCCAGTCCCTCTCAGGCCCGAGAGAGCCCGAGACTTCACATACCTCAAGGTCCTTAGCTCAAAACACTTCTTCTGGCTAGCTCTGCTGGCAAACTCCTACCCATCTGGCAAAGCCCCCACTGCTATGCCCATTCCAGTCCCAGGTCCCTCCCTCTAGCCCAGCATTGACCACATGGGGCTAAGGTTCTGAGTTAGGCTCAGTCTACTTATTCTACAGGAAAAGCTCACAAGGGCATCAGGGAGCGAGTGGTGGGTGAAGAGATGTGACCGTGGCTGAGGTGACCGCACCCCCCACCCCCCACTGACCTCTGTTCAATCCCTGCTGAGCCGCCGTGGAGCCGCCCCCAAGCCCTGGGAGAGCCCGTACGCGTCACGGCGGACTGTGCCCCGTGGCGCTGTCAGGGGCCGATTTTCAGAAGCAGACTGCCAGGTCTTTCTTCCAAGGGGCCTCTGGGGGACTCAAACTGCTGATCTTTTGGTGAGCAGCTGAGTGCTCAACCGTCTGCACCACACAGGCCACCGGAAACCCAGCAGCAGCTGCCACTGACTGGGCACCGGGCAGGTGGCGAGGGTGACTGCAGCCCGTACGCGAGCTGAGGCGGGGAGGCGGCGGCCCAGGGAGGAGCATGGAGGCCTCGGCCACAGGAGCTAACCAGGGTGGGGAAGAGGACCTTGGTCCCTGGGGCGGGTGGGGCAGGGCAGCCTCGTTATCTCCCCACACACCCTAACAGGCAACGGCCCTGGCCTGGGGATCCGGGCCCTGTCCCCGCCCTGTAGAGCTGCCTGCTCCCCGCCTGGGGGGGGCTGGTCCCTTGCATGTGGCCTAACCAGCCCAGGGGAGCAGGAGGGCAGACCCGGGCCCCCAGCCAGGACACAGCACCAGCTTAGTTTGCTCCTCTGCAATGTAACATTACAAGCAGACCCACCGTGCAACTCTTGGGGTGTGCACGCCTGATGCCAAGCCTAGAGCATGCCTGAGAGCCGGAAGGCGACGTGTGTCTCCGTGCCAGAGCCTGTGGCCCCCTCACCCACCCGCTCCCCGTCCTGGGTAGCATGTGAACGCTGGACACTGCGGGAACGGCCAGCACGCACCCCAGCCAGGCCCGCGGGCGCTCCCTCCCGGCGTGCTGGCCCTCTCTGCCAGGAGTCTTTCAGATGGCATCCTTCTATTTCCCTGCCTCTGCGTTAGTCACCCCCCAGAACGGGTGCCTAACTGCTGTCTAATTTGCATAATTGTGCGTATTCATTTCCCAACCTGGTGAATAGTCATGTATCTCATTTAGATTTGTTTTCTAATACACAATTTCCAGAGGGGTTGTGGGCGGGGGGCCTGAGAAGCTGCCCTGGTGGGTAGAGGGGCTCCCATGGTCTCCAGCATTGCCACCAGGATTGGGGTCTGCACCCAGGGTCCCAGACCTGGACTTGGGTCCTGGGGGAGGGTGGCTGCTGGAGTGGGGCTGGCTGGGTGACCCTGGACAAAACTCCAGCCCTCTCTGAGCCTCAGCTTCCCTCTGTCTGTGCTGCCGGCTCACCAAGTAGACCCCCAACCTCCAGCTCTCCCCCCGCCCCCAGTGTTGCTCAGCAACAGACCCCTGCAGCAGTGGACGGAGGCGCCTGGGTCCTCAGCTGAACAGAGGCCAACTCCCAAGGGCACAGCCAGGGCACATACAAGCCAGTGCCCAAATCCAGCACCCGCGGCCCTCTACCACTCAGCAGGCGAGGCGACGGCCAGGGCTCACCCGGGGCCCAACACCCCCAACAGGCCCCAGCAATGCCCTGGCAGGAGCTACTAGGTCCCTGCTCTACAGTTCCCAGAAAAAAACCTCCCCCTTCCGGTAAAGACAAAAGTAGGGACCTGCCCCTCCCCCACAGCTCCCCTTAATATAGTTATCAACCCCCTTACCGATTAATTATGCATTTTAATAACCCATACATGAATATTCATAATGCCCCATTCTAATTAAAGTGTACTAACAGAATAAGACACTGCTGTTAGAGAATAATTTTTCTCCCTACATATGTATGTATTAAAAAAGGACAGAGGTGAAACACTGACTTGGGGTGCCAGGGGAAAGATGGAGGGAGGACATCTCTCCCACAGGGTCCAGCCAGGCTTCCGTGGAGAGGGACAGAGGGATGGACAGTGCAGAGTGTGCTTGAGGGCAGGAAGAGATCGGGCCAAAGAGAGGTGCCAGGGGGCTGGTGGCCTTGGGCACGGAGCCCCAAGGATCTGGTGACCCTAGGCAAGCTGCCCCGTCCTGTCAAAGTTCTGGTTCGAATGTGTTACCCAACGGCAACACCACCACGCAAACCCTGGCCCATACACGTGGCTGGTGAGTTGATACTGCAACCTGCAGCTCTGAAGGACAGAGACGTCAGAAATACACCGAGTCTGTCTGTGTGCTGCACTGCGGGGGCCTGTGTGGTGCTGTGAGCTGGGAAGCTGTCACCAGTATGTCACATCCCAGCAGGGTCCCCCATGGTGGGCAGGTTTCAGTGGGGCTTCCAGACTAAGAAACCAGGCCTGGCAGGCTCCTTACAAAATTAACCAGTGAGCTTTGCTAAATGAAGTCAGTCAGTCAGTCAGAGAGAGACATAACGTACGGCCGCACCGTGTCACATGTCAGGGTTAGGCAGAGCCACAGACAGCAACGCTCTCGGAAGGCTGGGGGTGGGGGTGGCAGGGGAATCCCGTCTAGATGGCAGACACTTGGCACTCTCACATGGGAAAGGCAATCTCAAATATGGCGAAGTCAGCAAAACGTCACCAAGGCAAGCAATGACACTGAGAACCACACGAGAGAAAGAGACAATTCTGGTAAATGCAATTTTGTAATAGTAACAACATGCAGAAGATATTTGTGTGATTATGTATGAAGATACAGGTGCACACATGTGTGCAGTAAGGTACGTGCGACTGAATGCATGTACGTGTACAGGCCTATCTGCAGACATGTGTACACTCGTGCCTGTGGGTGCTACGTGTGCATCCACACGTATAACAAACCACGCAGGAGCAGAGTCACGGAGGCCTCCTACATACGGCCAATACGTGACCGGCTGCCAGGTCAAAAGGCCTGGGACCATCACCTCAGGGACATTCACTCAACTGGCCCAGCGTGGTTCACAAAGACAGCACTCCACATACTAGTTCTCGCTACCACGCTGGGGTCGAACAGCTCACGAGCAGCCCCAAGACACACCCGCTCGCATGAAGCAAGTGAGCACATAGGAGTCAAAGACTCAGAGAAGACGAGTCCATGGCACTGACAGCCCGCGACCCACAGCCTCTGCAGACCCACTGCCGAGCCTTCTGACCAGGGACACAACACAAGGGCCCGGATAGAAGGGGATAAAACGTGGAACAAAACTCAAATCCCTTAGAAGACCAGACCTACCGGACTGACGGACACCAGAGAAAGCCCCCAGACTGTCACCTTTGACCAGGGAACTGGAGCTACTTCTTCAGGTCACCTTTCAGCCAAGTAACAGACTGGCTTATAAAGCGGCACCGGGAGCAACGTTCTCCCTGAAGTAACCCTCTGTGGGATGAACCAGCCGACCTCCACCCAGAGGCAAAGGGGAGACGGGGAGGGAAGCTGTCAGTGGAAACAGAGCAGGCAGGACAGAGACCGTGAAAACGCGGACACATTGGGGAAACTGACCAAAAGCAGGGGACAATCTGTAAAAAGTTATTAAAAACCAAAAACCAAAGTCACTGTCATTGAGTTGATTTGACGCATAGCGACCCCTCCTTGGGTTTCCGAGACGGTATCACTATGGAAGTAGATTGCCCAACCTTCCTTCCAAGAAGTGGCTGGTGGGTTTGAACCGCCAGCCTTCTGGTTAGCAGTCAAATGCCTTAGGCACTGCGCCACCAGAGCTCCTAGAGGACCAGAGCTGACTAGTTGTTGTTGTTATGTGCCATGGAGTTGGACCCGACTCATAGTGACCCCTCCTTGGGTTTCCAAGACGGTATCACTATGGAAGTAGATTGCCCAACCTTCCTTCTGAGGAGTGGCTGGTGGGTTTGAACCACCAGCCTTCTGGTTAGCAGTCAAGTGCCTTAGGCACTACGTCACCAGAGCTCCCCCAATTTGCTACGTAAACTCACCTAAAACAGTATTATCTTAAAAAAAAAAAAAAATCCCCATGGTATGGTTTCGCCACATCCTTCTCCCCTTCCTAACTTGTCAAAGCAGCCCTGACTTTATAAACAACACCAAGCCACCACCATGGAGTCAATTCCGAGCTACAGTGCCCCTAGAGCACCCAGTGGCACTGCCCGGAGGGTTCCCAAGGTGCAGATCTTCACAGAAGCGGACTGCCACGTCGTCCTCTCATGAAGCAGCTGCTGGGTTTGACTTGCTGACTCTTAGTTAGCAGCCAAGCGCTTTAATCACTGCAGCACCACAATGCCTGTAGGAAATGATGTCTTCACAAGCACCACAGCTGCTTCTCAAGCTCAGCTGACTGAGAGATCCCACTGGCTGGATCCCCAAGCGACCGTGGGGCTGGTGTGGGGTCAGGCAGCACTTTGGCCCATTGGGCACAGGGTTGCCGTGCACTGGGGCCCACTCGAGGGTAGCTCACCACAACATGTGTTTGTGGGGGTGTCTACAAGATGTGACATGTGAGCTGAGGGCTCGAGGCAGCTCCGGCGAACATCCCCCAGTGGCCTGACAAGAACGTGAAATGCAGACAAAAGTGTCCTAGGTGACAACTTGGGCAAGGCGTTAGCCACAGCCCACCAGCGTGGAGCGATTCCTGCCAGAGGCAGCAGCCTCCAGACAGGCTGAAGGAAGGCGCGTGGGCAGCCCAGAGGCCCTTCCTCACTTGAGGGGGGTCCCAGAAAACCCCTCCTACATCTGCCCACAAGATCTGGAGGGGCTGGGAAAGCAGGGTCTCCCTGGGCTCCCCGGGAACAAGGTAATTAACCTGAGGCTAACAAGGAAGG